TGCTATCTTGGGTTACAGAGGGATTACAGTTGAAATATGGGCCCTTATTGGATTCTAGTACATGGCGGGTTCATAAAGTTATTAAGGTATATTAAGATGGTACATATGATTTCAAGACCTGTCGTATGCACTCCAAAACTGTATTTTTCAAAAATTGAATGCCGAGAAATTCGAAATCCATTTTTTTATTTCCAAAATTTTCCTATTTTCTATGGGTCCAACCAAATCCAAAAGTTTATCTTTAACATCCAAGTTAACCAACTGGAACCAACTTTCAATTTATTTCAAAACAGTTTTCATAAAAATTTACGTGTTTCCTTTCGCACTAGTAGTTTAATCAGAAAAATAATGTCGAACTAATGATTTGCTTGTAACCCAGAAGTGACCTTTTGACAAAGTATCAGCCAATTATATATACTGTGTGGTTAATGTGTTTTGTTAGCCTTTCTTGAAACTCACCAGTGAATGGCTCTTGTTCCGGGATCCAATTAAACGTTGCTGCGTGTCGCATGCTCCGTCTTGTTCTCGGCGCATTCAGACGAGGACTAGTCGAGCGGGTGACTGCCATATCATTATTTGTTGAACCATGCAAAGAAGAACATGGCGATGGCGCTCCGGAAGTAGCACAATCTTCATCGATCGAATCATAACAATGAAGATCTGCTCTTTTCGGTGCAGGAAAGTCTGGTGTCGAGGCGCCCACTTGCGATCTTTTCCGAATATTACTTTGATGATGAGCTGCAATAAAACAGATAATACTAAAGGAATAATATCTACAGCTAAGTATTAGTAAATAAAAACTAAATATTGAAATTAAAATACGTTCTCTGTGAATTTGAAATTTGGAAATGTTGCAAATAGCACCTAGTCGGGACACAAAGGAAAGCAAAACATTTATTTTTTCAAAACACTAAGACTTGTTCTCATTGATTTTATAGATTTTCAAAATAAGCCCCCCCCCCCACCCATTCAATTATATACCCTCACTTTTGCGCAGTTTGTGGTGTGTGAAGGGTACCGTAACCGTCATGATGCAAATTTTGAGCTTTTTTTAAAAATTGTTCATTGATTTTTCGGAATTTGTGTCATTCTTCACCATTTTTCCTTGTTTCTTGGGAACTTTTTTTGAAAAATACTTTTCAGCTATGTATATCTTATCAGGACTTCCAAAATTAAAACATTCTGAAATTCAGGCTTAGGCCAAAAAATGGTGGGGACCTATTTTCGAATTGGTGGGGACCTATTTTCGAGTTGGTGGGGATCTAAAGTTGAATGGGTGGGGGGCTATTTTTGAATTGGTGGGGGGCTATTTTTGAATGGTTGGGGGGAAGGGGCTTTAATTGAAGAAGGCAGGGAGGGATGGGGCCATATTTTAAGAATACCAGGTTCTTCAAGTATAGGCCCCCACTTTGTACTGGTGGGGGGGGGGGGGGGTCATACTTTAATCAACCAATTCAANTTCAGCCCCCCCCCCCACACCTCAGTAGAGCCCCCACTCATTTTTGTACTGGTGGAGGGCTCTGCTATAGTTGTTTATAAGGTGTGAGTCATATTGAGGTGCGGGGCGATATTTCAATTATACCAAGTGCCCTCC